ACAATTTTGAGTTAACTATGTTTTTTGTTACTAGTTTTTGTGTGAATTGTTTGGGTTTACTTTTTTTCAAATAATAAACAATTTTCAGGTAACAAGGCAAAAAAGTTAAAACAAAAATTCTTTAAAATCAACTGAAAACCTATAAAAATATCAAATATAATTTGACATTCACATACATATTTACAAACACACTTGAACATTAATCCTATATACAAAAAAAAATATTTTAAAAACGACTTTATTTATCTGTTGCTATGGACTTTTAGAGAATTAAGTTAAGTTCTAGTTCGGTTCTAGTTCAGTTCTAGTTCAGTTCTAGTTCAGTTCTAGTTCAGTTCTAGTTCAGTTCTAGTTCAGTTCTAGTTCAGTTCTAGTTCAGTTCTAGTTCAGTTCTAGTTCAGTTCTAGTTCAGTTCTAGTTCAGTTCTAGTTCAATTCTAGTTCAGTTCTAGTTCAGTTCTAGTTCAGTTCTAGTTCAGTTCTAGTTCAGTTCTAGTTCAGTTCTAGTTCAGTTCTAGTTCAGTTCTAGTTCAGTTCTAGTTCAGTTCTAGTTCAGTTCTAGTTCAGTTCTAGTTCAGTTCTAGTTCAGTTCTAGTTCAGTTCTAGTTCAGTTCTAGTTCAGTTCTAGTTCAGTTCTAGTTCAGTTCTAGTTCAGTTCTAGTTCAGTTCTAGTTCAGTTCTAGTTCAGTTCTAGTTCAGTTCTAGTTCAGTTCTAGTTCAGTTCTAGTTCAGTTCTAGTTCAGTTCTAGTTCAGTTCTAGTTCAGTTCTAGTTCAGTTCAGTTCTAGTTCAGTTTTAGTTCAGTTCTAGTTCAGTTCTAGTTCAGTTCTAGTTAAGTTCTAGTTCAGTTCTAGTTCAGTTCTAGTTCAGTTTTAGTTCAGTTCTAGTTCAGTTTTAGTTCAGTTCTAGTTCAGTACGTACATAGTTTATACTGTACAACCCTGGCGAACGACTTCTTTAACGATCACCGATTTCTACAAGAAATAGACCACAGATATAACACGAGAAGACGAGCGCAAGGAAGATATAAAGTGAAGCGCTTCTTTAATGAGTATGGGAGAAACACCCTAGAGTCGCTTTACCAAATATTCTGAACAAAATCCCAATTGGAGCTATAAATACAAGAAACAAATTTCTAAGAAAGAAACTTATACAGGCCTTTTTGATCAGATCGCAATGAAATAATGTTAATCTTAAACTTAATAAATTATTTATATATATGTTTCCTGCTGTCAAGCCATATGGCTTAGCGGACTTAGTATTAAGAATATATTGTACCTTTAAATACTTGAATTGAATAAAGTGAATATATATGAAAAAAAAAAGTTCTAGTTCAGTTCTAGTTCAGTTCTTATTCAGTTCTAGTTCAGTTCAGTTCTAGTTCTAGTTCAGTTCTAGTTCAGTTCTAGTTCAGTTCTAGTTCAGTTCTAGTTCAGTTCTAGTTCAGTTCTAGTTCAGTTCTAGTTCAGTTCTAGTTCAGTTCTAGTTCAGTTCTAGTTCAGTTCTAGTTAGTTCAGTTCTAGTTCAGTTCTAGTTCAGTTCTAGTTCAGTTCTAGTTCAGTTCTAGTTCAGTTCTAGTTCAGTTCTAGTTCAGTTCTAGTTCAGTTCTAGTTCAGTTCTAGTTCAGTTCTAGTTCAATCTATGATAAGTGAATACTCATACGTTTATTTATTTTGTTTTACATACCCCAGCTAGCATTTGGAAGATTGTTGGATGATTAATCAGTAAACTGACTCATTTTTGACTCCTTTTGATGACCTAAACGTGATTAATAAATTGAGCGCTTAAAAAATGATTCGAAAATGATCCCGATATATGATTGAAAACTGATTATTTGAAAAACAATAACAAAACGTATAGCAATCATAGATTGATCATACTGGTGTTTAAAACAGAGAATGAAAATAAACTAAACGAAACGTTTGCAATTGTTTTGTTTTGATCTTTGCAGTGAGTAAAACAGAAACAAAACCAAAACAACAAAAACGATTTTCTCATTTGGTTTTGTATTGTTTTTGCTTTTGAGCACATCATTTACATTAACTCAAATGTACGCAGATAGAAAAGAAAACAATGGGAGCAAAACTGAAATTTTTCGAGCAAAACATTTTCGCAAACCCCAGCGGATTTTTTTCCACATACATCTACCATCTGAGACCAAATACAATGTAGATGCGACTAATCCAAAGTCTGTATTCAATTCCAACTTACATTTACACAGCGATGGCCTAGGCCGTACGATGGGTCCAACTCTACCGACATTGTTGGCGAAGGTCGGATGAGTACACATGAAACGAAAAAACAATAACGAAAAAACAAAACTTTTCCCAGCAGCGGCTGGGAATCGAACCAAGGGACACTCATATTTCATGTTTCGTGATCAACGCGCTAACCACTTAAGCCACATCACATATAATAATAATTGAGTCGAATGTTAGTTTTATGCTACTAACACCTTTTTCAGATTAGTCCAATCCTACCGACATTGTAAGCGAAGTTCAGATGGGTAAAATAAATTGAAAAAAAAGGAATAAAAAAACGAGATGAAATAAATGTGCATTTAATTTTACAATAGAATAGGAATAATACTGATCTGAATCGGATGCCAGTTGTAAGCTCTTCACAAAATTTTCCGTTTTGCTCATATACAGAACGATTTAAAAATTTTTAAAAGTTTTGTACATTATGGAAACGTTTGCGAAATGTTTCGTTTGTTTTCATAATCTGGTTTAAAATATGATTGTTTTAATAACTTATTTTGTGATCATATTTCGAGCAGTTGGAAAATTGTTTCTTGTGTAATTGTTTTTGTTTGTAATGGAATAGCAATACTTACACTTAAAAATGACTCAAAAACTATTCAAAAATGAGTCGAAACTGATTAGAAAATGGGCTCCGAAAAGACTCTTTTAGAAGAGTTGGCAAACAAGTTTGTGTGGCCTAAAATAAGTTGATATAATTCTCATTTGTGTAATATTTATAAAGTCGATTTTCTGTCAAGGAAATTGAAATTATATTATGCTTTAATTATAATAATTTTATATGTTTACTGATCTTCTACGGAAGATAGTTGGGTGAATAATCACTAAACTAAGTCTTAATAATTCCAATTATTGTTTAAAATCTGATTTATTTGAAAAACAATAACAAAATCACAAATAGGTCTTCCAGGTGTTCGAAATTTGATTGTTTATAAATTTATTTTGTAGTTACATTTCGAGCAGTCGGAAGATCAAAAAGTGTTATCTGTTGTATTGTATTTGTCTGTAGCAAAGAAAAGGACTCAAAAATTACTATAATATGATTCGAAAATAATTCTAAAACGACTAGTAAATCGGCTAATTAATGACTCAAAAAGATTAAAAAATGAGTCAGAACTGATCAGAAGTGGGGCTCATAAAAGACTCGTTTAGAAGAGTCTCGGGTAGAGTACCATTTTCTCCCGACGAATGTATCATTTATGATCAGAAAAAGAGCGCATATATGATCATTTTAATCGTGCAGAAGAGTCATAAATGACTCGAATGCGATCAAAAATTTCAAAAAATGTTAGCTGGGACGTTTTCTATTAATTCCTTTAAACACTTGGTGTTATTTTTCTCAACAAAATAAAAATGCATACAATAAATAAAAAAGGAAAATAAAACAAAATTTAGTTTTGTTTACATAAATTTAAAGAAAAATTTACAACTATATACAGATATTTGTTTGTTTTTCTACACGATCGTCTGTCCAATCATAAATTCGTCCGTCTGACAGTATCTACATACGTACAGACTTAGTTTGGGTATGCAAAAAGGAACCATTGGATGTTTATTAAATATTTATAAAAGTAAAACCAAACATTTATAGAAAAAGAAACACCTTCATCAAGTTTTAGCATTTTCTTTATTTTTATACATATTCCAACAACAGACAGTAGAAGAAATACAACCAAAAAGATATATATATATATATATGTATTTATTCGATAATGACGAGTATGATGTTGATGTTGTTTGATTTTAATGTCTAAACAAAACGAACAAATTAAAATTTTTATTAAAAATGCATACAAACAAATAAAAAGAACAGACAGACACATACCCACAGACATTAACAGTAGCAAATGTTAAAATATAATTCATTCGTCGTCTGCCAGGGGTATTTTCTGTCGGGATAACGTTGAGAAAATAAAACTTTGTATAAAAACACATATAAATGTCTATTTAACACATTGTTTTCGGGCAGCAACGGCATCGGGGCTATAAACGGCATCAGTTTGTTTGTGTTTGTTTTTTCTTTTTTGTGGAGAAGGTGGAAAATTTATCTTTTGTTTTTAGTTTAAAAAAACTTGTCAAAATGAAAAAAAACAAAATCAATATACCCCCCATCTTTTTTGATGGTGGGTATAAAAACTGACAACTATTTAAACGTATAAAGTTTTTTATAGTAATTTTGGTTTCTGTAAACACGCTTAAAGCTTTTTTAGGGCTTTTTTATTGCAAAAAGTGCATTTTTAAATGAAAGATTAAAGATTTTGAATTACTTTTATTTTTCTTTATATTTATAGTTCTATAACATTTTAGTTCAGTTTTAGTTCAGTTCTAGTTCAGTTTTAGTTCAGTTCTAGTTCAGTTCTAATTCAGTTATAATTCAGTTCAAGTTCAATTTTAGTTCAGTTCTAGTTCAGTTTTAGTTCAGTTCTAGTTCAGTTCTAGTTCAGTTCTGGTTCAGTTCTAGTTCAGTTCTAGTTCAGTTCTAGCTCAGTTCTAGTTCAGTTCTAGTTCAGTTCTAGTTCAGTTCTAGTTCAGTTCTAGTTCAGTTCTAGTTCAGTTCTAGTTCAGTTCTAGTTCAGTTCTATTTCAGTTCAAGTTTAGTACTTGCGTAGTACTTGTTCAATTTTATTTTAGTTTTCCTTTAGTTCTGGTTCAATTCAAGTGAATGAAATTTCTTATAATTTTAGTTTTTATAAATAAAATAATCCATTATGTACTAATGTTCATTTTCTTGCTTTTTTCAGGACAAACACCAAATAAATAAAGCCTCAACCAAACATGGCCTGAAAAAAAGTTTGAACTGAACGAAAATAAAACGTGAAGCAAACCAACTGTTTAACAACGCACCCGAAATAACGCTACACAACTATCGAAAGAATTAAAAGATAAACAAAAACTTAAACATTTCAAATTGGCAATTAACTTTTGGACAAGTGCAACTAAACAAATTAACAAAAGAAAAAATATAAGAAATAAATTGAAGCCAAATACTAATCAACGAAGACAAAATTCAGCCAAATAAAATTCAAAGCAAAGCTTTTAATTTAATAAACAAAAACAGATCAAATGTAGTAGTGATGAGTATAATGCTTAATAGTTTATAGCGCACGCATCAATATCCCCAAAAATCAAATTAAAAAAAATATCACTAAAAAAGAGTAATTAACAAAAAATTAAAAAAGCACTTTTACTCTCAAATAAAAAACACACAAAAAGCACACACACTGTTTAGCTCGCCCGCTCTCTTCCACTCATTAAGCAATTTAGCTGCAAGCACCCATATTTTGCTGTGAGATATTTAGAAAAAAAAATAAAAGCATCAAAGCTTTCTTCCATTTTAATCCTTTACAAAAGAAACAAACAAAAAACTATATACAACAACAACATATGAGAGAATTAATTATAAAAAGAATACAACTACAAAAACACCACCACAACAATACACAATAGAGATTATTATAATTGATCACTTGCCACACACGCTCGCTCTCTCTCTCGCTGACGTGACGAAATCACTTCATTATTGAACCAGAGATACTGCATAGAAATTACAGAAACAAACGTGTTCAAACTAAACGAACGAATCCTTAATCAAGCGATCTTGCCCATCCAGCCAGCCTGATCCAACCTACTGTTTCCCCCACAAAAAGGCCAACAAGTCATAAAGCTTATCAAATCAAACGAAAGCTTCTTCTAACCGTCCATATTAATTTTTATTAATGAAACGCTTATCTCCAAAATCAAAAATATTTCAAATTTCTAGAGATCTATACTAAACATAAATACAATTACCGCTACCACTTTAGGTGTGATTTGAAAACCAACATTGTGGTCAATTTTGTGTTTGAAAACCCATCAAGAAAATTACAAAATTTGGCCAACAATTGAGTTTGTGTAAGGAAAACACCCCAAGAGACTATACAAGTAATAGGTGTTTTCCCTTCCAAACTCCTCCACCAGCAACAACAAGAAAAACCATAATTATTTAAACAATAACAATCAGTACAAAAACAAATTTATCAAATTAAACATGGGTTTAATACGAAAACGGTTTTCACACCTGCATATAATCGTAGCACTATGTGTGCTCTTGGCGTCTTGCACAATAACGCTCACACTAGCTGCCGATGATACTAATGACAATGATCCATCTGATGATAATCAGACTCTTCTACAAAAAGTCACAACACTGCGAGCAGTTATCGAAGGTGATGCGGACGATGACGACAACGATGTAAATGGTGATGACGATGATGATGACGATTCAATATCACTGTCCTCGTCCAAGTCGCCAGCCAACAGCTCATTAGCGCTGCCGCAGACGTCATCTAGTGATGTGCAGTGCAGTGAAGGTCTTGTTGTTCCGATGTGGATGCCTCAGACCAATCTTAGTACTGGAGATCGGGTTGCACGAGGCTTGGTTTACTTTTTCATCATGATCTACCTGTTTATCGGCGTTTCAATTGTATCCGATCGCTTTATGGCAGCAATTGAAGTGATCACGTCCAAGGAAAAGGAGGTGGTGATAAAGAAGAAGAATGGCGAGAAACAAATTGTGGTGGTTCGTGTCTGGAACGAGACAGTGGCTAACTTGACGCTGATGGCATTGGGTTCCAGTGCCCCCGAAATTCTACTGTCTGTGATTGAAATGTTTGCCAAGAACTTTGAAGCGGGCGATTTGGGCCCTGGTACCATTGTGGGTTCGGCGGCCTATAACTTATTTGTGATCATAGCGCTGTGTGTGTTTGTAGTGCCCGATGGCGAGGTACGCAAGATCAAACATTTACGGGTGTTCTTTGTCACTGCTTCGTGGTCGGTGTTTGCCTATATATGGCTGTATCTGATTTTGGCCCAAATCTCTCCCGGCCGTGTCGAGGTCTGGGAGGGTCTGCTGACGTTTATGTTCTTCCCTGCCACTGTGCTGACCGCCTACATAGCCGACCGTCGTCTCTTGATCTACAAATACCTAGATAAAAATTATCGCATGAATAAGCGTGGCGTTATTGTGAGCGCTGAGGGCGACGCAGCGCTCGAAATGAATCAACAGGACGAAATCAAACAGCTGGAGGAGACTGAAGAGATGAAGGACTTTGAGGAAGCCCGGCGTGAATACATTTCATTGTTAAAGGACTTGCGCAAGAAATATCCACAAAGTGATCTGGAGCAATTAGAAATGATGGCTCAGGAGCAAATGATTAACCGTGGTCCCAAGTCCAGAGCCTTCTATCGCATCCAAGCTACACGTAAAATGATGGGTAGTGGCAACATAATGCGCAAGATTCAAGAGCGTGCTCAAAGTGATCTCAGCGAGGTCAAGGCTCAACTGCAGCGGGTGGACGTCAATGTCGACGAAGAGGAGGCCGCCCTTAGGGTGTTCTTCGAGCCCGGCCATTACACGGTAATGGAAAGCTGCGGTGAATTCGAATTACGTGTAGTACGACGTGGCGATCTATCTGGCTATACCACGGTCGAATTTCAAACCGAAGATGGTAGTGCCGAAGCCGGCAGTGATTATGTGGGTAAAAAAGGTGTTCTCACCTTCCCACCCGGTGTCGATGAACAACGTTTCAAGATCGAAGTCATCGACGACGATGTGTTCGAGCAGGATGAACATTTCTATGTTCGTCTTAGCAATCCTTCGGAGCCGGCTATATTGTCCGTTCCCAAAGTGGCCACAGTTATGATTTTGGATGATGATCATGCTGGTATTTTCGCTATTTGCCAAAAAGATCACGAATTGGTTGAATCGGCTGGTTCGTATGAACTGAAAGTGCAACGTTATTCGGGTGCGCGTGGCAAAGTTATCATCCCCTATTGGACGGAGGATGGTACGGCCAAGGGTGGCAAAGACTATGAACCGCAACAAGGAGAATTGGTGTTTGAAAATAATGAAACTGAGTAAGTATTTTTCTTTCTTTTTTTAACTTTATTAGAAAAAACTGGTTAAAAGTATCTAGAGATTTGTTGTCATTTGTTTGACATCGTTTGGTCCTAGTTCAGTTATAATTCAATGACATTGGTAATATTAACCTTCTATTGCAAATTAATGAGAAAATGCCCGTTGATTTAGCGATCTTTTCGTAGAGTCTAGCTGCTCTTTCTCCGCCAATAAGCTTTAAGCCATAATTATAGGGAAACCTTGTACTTGTAGTAATTACGATTTATAAATCAATCATGTTTGATCAGTGCGAATTCCCACTCTCTATTATATTTAAAATTTTTCAAAGTGTCCTTGCTTGTGTCGCCAGTAAATGGGAAAAACAATTTTATATTTTTCTTTTTGTTTTATGTGTGGGCTGAGAAGGAAGACATAAAACTGAATTATCCATAACATACTTATAGTCAGTCACCATCATCATTTATACTAACTAGAAAAACTTCATTAAAACCAAATAGACATTTATTACGACAAATAACCTTGAAGTTGCTTTGGCTATTATAGATAAGTTACTTTCCTTTGAAACTTTCCATGGCATTTCGTTCTTCTGCCAATCCCGATGATTATGATGTTGACGATGGTGACCAAAAGTTATTTGTACCATGGCTGTAAATATTTATAATTAAGATTTCCAAACACGACAAAGTCGTCACTCAAAAAACAAAAGAAATGACATAATTTTTTGTGTTTGTTTGTAGTACGGGCTAAAATCGTTAAAAAATATATGTACATATGTATGTATGTATGTATGGATATAAAAACAACGGGGTCATATGGTCATACATATGTAGGCTTTTAGGCGTTTATTTGCGTTTCTTTGGTATTAAATTTGTTGCTCGCAAAAATGTAAAACAGCGCAATAGAAAAGAGTAGACAGAGTATTGTAAAGGGAAGTTGAAAACTGGAAAAGGCAAAGTTACAGGATTTCCGGTCAATGTCACATATTTAATTATATTTTTTTACTTAGATTGTAGTTGTTTTATTTTGAAAAAAAATCACACATAAAAAAAATATATAAAATAAGATATTTTAAAGTAAATTTCATATTTCTTCATTCATTACGATTTTTTTCTTTAATTAAACAATAAAATTCCATGAATTTCAACGCCAACAAATATTAACACATGTTCATGATTTTGCTAAATGTTTCCCTCCACATTTTTCAATTAGTGGAGATCAAAAATTTCAGAAATACATATTAATTAATAATAATTGAACTTGAAATAATAAACCAACAGAAATATTTCACAAATCAAATTTAAATGTCGAAATTAATTTTTTCATTTTCGTCTTGAGGTAGACATTAATTGCAAATTGAAATATTAAAAGAAATATTAACAATTTGTTTACATGGTTTATATATTTATACAAACATACGTTTTTGAAAATTTTATTTATTTATTCTTTTATTGGCAAATAATGTATTAGTGCACAATCGTTCATTTAACATTTTAACCCTTTAACACATAATTCCTCTTAAATGTAGAAGTTCTTCAAAAAATACAATGATGTTGAGAAAAGAAGTCACGTAGATTATGCCAAAAATTATTGTAGCCCATATGCATTAAAGGGTTAATGCCAACTAGGTGTGTTAACAACACAAAAAATTTCTAATTCTATTTCACTCTAGTTCATTTCTGGTTCAATTCTAGTTCAGTTCCAGTTCAGTTCAGTTCTAGTTCTAGTTCAGTTCTAGTTCAGTTCTAGTTCAGTTCTAGTTCAGTTCTAGTTCAGTTCTAGTTCAGTTCTAGTTCAGTTCTAGTTCAGTTTAGTTCAGTTCTAGTTCAGTTCTAGTTCAGTTCTAGTTCAGTTCTAGTTCAGTTAGTTCAGTTCTAGTTCAGTTCTAGTTCAGTTCTAGTTCAGTTCTAGTTCAGTTCTAGTTCAGTTCTAGTTCAGTTCTAGTTCAGTTCTAGTTCAGTTCTAGTTCAGTTCAGTTCTAGTTCAGTTCAGTTCTAGTTCAGTTCTAGTGCAGTTCTAGTTCAGTTCTAGTTCAGTTCTAGTTCAGTTCTAGTTCAGTTCTAGTTCAGTTCTAGTTCAGTTCTAGTTCAGTTCTAGTTCAGTTCTAGTTCAGTTCTAGTTCAGTTCTAGTTCAGTTCTAGTTCAGTTCTAGTGCAGTTCTAGTTCAGTTCTAGTTCAGTTCTAGTTCAGTTCTAGTTCAGTTCCAGTTCAGTTCAGTTCTAGTTCAGTTCAGTTCTAGTTCAGTTCTAGTGCAGTTCTAGTTCAGTTCTAGTTCAGTTCTAGTTCAGTTCTAGCTCAGTTCTAGTTCAGTTCTAGTTCAGTTCTAGTTCAGTTCTAGTTCAGTTCTAGTTCAGTTCTAATTCAGTTCTAGTTCAGTTCTAGTTCAGTTCTAGTTCAGTTCTAGTTCAGTTCTTGTTCAGTCCTAGTTCAGTTCTGTTTTAGTTCAGTTCTAGTTCAGTTCTGTTCTAGTTCTGTTCAAGTTCTGTTCTAGTTCTGTTCTAGTTCTGTTCTAGTTCTGTTCTAGTTCTGTTCTAGTTCTGTTCTAGTTCTGTTCTAGTTCTGTTCTAGTTCTGTTCTAGTTCTGTTCTAGTTCTGTTCTAGTTCTGTTCTAGTTCTGTTCTAGTTCTGTTCTAGTACTGTTCTAGTTCTGTTCTAGTTCTGTTCCAGTTCTGTTCTAGTTCTGTTCTAGTTCTGTTCTAGTTCTGTTCTAGTTCTGTTCTAGTTCTGTTCTAGTTCTGTTCTAGTTCTGTTCTAGTTCTGTTCTAGTTCTGTTCTAGTTCTGTTCTAGTTCTGTTCTAGTTCTGTTCTAGTTCTGTTCTAGTTCTGTTCTTGTTCTAGTTCTGTTCTTGTTCTAGTTCTGTACTTTTTCTGTTCTAGTTCTGTTCTACTTCAGTTCTAGTTCAGATCCTGTTAAGTTCGAGACATAATAAAATTATGTTCATAATTTTTGTGTCATCTTGCCATTAATGCTTTTTTTCTACATTGAAACTATATTTCACTTTAATACTTTTGTTATATGTATGTTGTACTATTAGCATTTTTATGCCCTCCACCACCATCAGTGGTGATAGAGGGTATATATAAGTTTGTCGTTCCGTGTGTAACACCAAGAAATATTCATCTAAGACCCAACAAAGTATATATATTCTGGGTCCTTATCAAATTCTGAGTCGATTTAGCTATGTCCGTCTGTCCGTCTGTCTGTGTAAAACACGCTCACGATAAAACTAAGCAATGGAAATCAACCAAATTCCCCTAAAATATTTATTATTATCCTAAGCAGTTTGGTATTGAAAATCAGCAAAATCGGTTCACAACGTAAAAAGTAAAAAATCGGTTCACAACGTAAAAAGTCGCTATCAACACAAAATTTTGTATATGTATATATAATATGAACAGAAATCATACTCTCAACGTAGAACTCAGTCGGTCCACAATTGGTCATAGCTCCCATATAAGGTCCTCTTCCGAAAATCACCTAAGCGCACATATTTCATTGATGAATAAAGTTATTGTGATAAAATTCGACACAAATATGTTTTGTGTACATAAAAATCATTCTACCAAATTTTTTTACGGATCGGTCCATTATTGGTCATAGCTCCCATATAAGGCCCACTTCCGAAAATCATTTAAAAGCACATATTTCATTGTCAAATAAAGATATCTTGATAAAATTTGACACAAATATGTTTAGTCTATATATGAATCACTCTACGAAATTTTTTCCGGATAGGCCCATAATTGGTAATAGCTCCCATATAAAGTCCACTTCGGAAAAATACTTAAACTCATATATTTCATTGAATTATAAAGCTATAGAGATAAAATTCGACACAAATATGTTTTGTATACATACAAATCATTCTGCAAATTTTTTTACGGATCGATCCATTATTGGTCATAGCTCCCATATAAGACCCATTTCCGAAAATCACTTATAAACACATATTTCATTGTCAAATAAAGCTATCCTGATAAAATTTGACATAAATATGTTTTGTCTTTATATGAGTCACTCTACGAAATTTTTTCCGGATAGGCCCATAATTGGTCATAGCTCCCATATAAGGTCCACTTCCGAAAATCACATAAACCATATATCTCATTGAATTATAAAGGTATCGCGATAAAATTCGACACAAATATGTTTTGTGTACATATAAATCATTCTACAACTTTTTTCCCGGATCGGTCCGTTATTGGTCATAGCTCCCATACAAGGTTCACTTCCGAAAATCACTTATTAACACATATTTCATTGTCAAATAAAGTTATGTTGATAAAATTCGACACAAATATGTTTTGTCTTTATATGAATCACCCTACGAAATTTTTTCCGGATAGGCTTCCATATAAAGTCCACTTACAAAAATCACTTAAACGCATATATTTCTTTGAATAAAAAAGCTATCGGGATAAAGTACGACTTAAATATGTTTTGTGAGCATATAAATCATTCTACCAAATTTTTTCCGGATTGGCTCATATATGTTAATAGCTCCTATATAAGGTCCACTTCAAAAAATTCACTTAAACACACATATTTTATTATCAAATAAAGATATCTTGATAAAATTCGACACAAATATGTTTTGTGTAAGATCATAGCTCCTATACATATAAAGTCCACTTCCGAAAATCACCTAAATCACCTTAATTAATAAATCAATTGTAGTAAAATTCGACTTGAATTTTTTTGCCATATAAATCGTTATACGAAATTTTTTCCTTATCGGTCAATTATTTGTCGCACCTCCCATATAAGGACCATTTCCGAAAATTACTCAAATGCACGTTGACAATCGAAGTTATCGAGATAAAATTCGACATAAATATGTATTTTGTATATATAAATCATTCTACGGAATTTTTTTCCCGGATTGGTCCATAGGTTGTCTTAGGTCCATATAAAGTATACTTGTGAAAATCACTTAATACCAATTAATTCGTAATTAAATTATTATATCCGGATAAAATTCAAAATGAGTAAGTTCTGTGT